ACAGCTGCACAACTGACCTCCTTCTTCACTTAGGTTCCCAACCATGCACATCTTTCAAGCCGTTCTTGTTTTACCGATTTGCAGCTGCAAGCTTTCAGGTATGTTTACATGCGCCGATGCCCAGACGCGGCCAAGCCAGGCAAAGTTTTTCACTGCCTGGGAGGCTGTGCCTGGCGGGCTGCATGAAGCTGGCTCAGAAGTGTGGTGAGATCGCCAATGGGGTCCACAGCTGGCCGGCAAGCCTTGCAGGCCAATGTCGCCTGAAGTGCGATCGCGACCAAAAACCCTCTTAGGCGAACTATGACGTACCATGATCACACTCTGTGGCGTTGTTGAGAATCGAATGCTGGTCTTGCACCCCGGCGAATTTTAGGTTCAAGCCACTTTGAAACCGCACACAAACTAAACTAAACACATGCAACCAGTTGGAAGGGAAGAACGAAGCTAAGGAAACGGACATCTTAAGCGCGTTCGCCAAGCTGCAGTCCGATGGTCCATGTTGGCAGCGTGCATGACGTACGCTACGCCAGTGGTTCCCGCTCGATGCGCTCCGGCCAAACAATGTATCAAGACGCTGTGTCCTGCAACTCACCACGCAAGCTCGGTGTGCTACTGTAGGTGGGGAGGGTTCGGGGATGGGGGAGGCATCTCTGAGAGCCCGGAGAAAAATTGCTCAATTTATGTGCGGGGAGGCTGGGGCTGGGAGTTTGGAAGAAAGGCCATACCCCTTCTATTCTGCCAGCGTAGACCCCAAACAGTGAGAGACCACATGGGGATACGAAGAGCATGTCAAGCTCTCAGACACGAGGAACACGATAGGAGAGCAGCTTCAGCAGAGCACGACGAGGCCAGCACGCCAGGAGATCGCCAGCCCAAAGAGCCCAATACCCCTTAATTAAGGAATATAGCTTAAATGATAAATGGGATCCTTATATTCTAATTTAAGCTATATTCCTTAATTAAGGGGTATTGGGCTCTCTGGGATGAGAGCAGCAGGAATCCAGCGGAGACCAGCAGCAGGCGGCGTCTCATCCGTTGCAGTGCGCTTCATGGGGTCACGAAAAAACGACTTTGATGCCACTGGAGCTCCAGACGTCCTCCGCGTATTCCCTTTGTACTGCCAAAGTCGACTTTTGAGCCATTGGACCTGCGGACGTCCTCGGTGTACTGTGTTTGTACTTCAAAAGTCGACGTTCGAGCCACCAAAGCCCCGGACGTCCTCGTGCGTACTACGTTAGTACTTCAAAGTCGACTTTCGAGCCACTGGACCTCCGGACCTCTTCGGTGTGCTGCATTTGTGCTTCGAAAGTCGACGTTCAAGCCATTTCAAGCCACAAGAGCTCCGGACGTCATCGGAGCAACACATTTGTACGTGCTACAAGACGTCGACTTTCGAGCCACCAGAGCCCCGGATGTCCTCCACAAGCACCAAAACATACCAAAAGCGACGACAGCTTCGCGTGTGGCGAACACCGAGGTCCAAAGGCGACGACAGTTGCTGATTGCGAGGATGGCGACATCGATGCGCGCGGCGCTTAGGCGGGAGCGCGATTTATGCAGAGACGCCAAAAAGCGACGACAGTTTTGCATTTCGCGAACCCAAACATCCAAAACGACGACAGTTTCACATTTTGGCGATCCCATATGTTCGAAAACCGACGACAGTTTCGCATTTCGCGAACACAGACGCCCAAAAGACACGACATTTGCGAGGATGGCGACGTCGATGTGCACGTCTAAGGTGGCCGCACGCAGCGAACCCATCCAACTGCCCTTGCCCGCCAAGTTTTCAGGACACGGAGCGATGCAAGCCTTAAAAAATTGCCCTCGATTTCCCATCAGAAAATGAGAAGATTTTCGTCGCACCGCTCGAGGCATAACGTCCGCGCATCGCGGGCCTGTCGTGGGGCATATCGCACACAACTCAACCGAACACCCTTTTACCCTGAAAGTAAGAACCCCTAGTGTTGGCGCACAGCTTGGGAAAAAAAACCAAACCCAAAAACTCAAAAAGCAGAAAATCCCAAATCCCCAAAATTCAATCTTTTTCTAGGAGATCCTCCGGCGAGGTTTGGATTTTTGTGTTTCTGACTTTTGCCATCTAATTTTCGCCATCTAATTTTCCTAGGATTGCAAAATACAAGACAATCAGCAATAAACAAAGCACAAATGTCGAAAGGAACGCCTAAGGCCTAACTGTGTTGAATGCATTAGGACTACTCTCGAAATCCAAACATCCAAAAACCCAAACTTTCCCAGAGCTTCTCCCAGGAAAGTTTGGATTTGGGAGATTTTGTGCTGTAGCTTCTCATATAGTTACGAGTGGTCAGAAATACAGGGAATGCGTTCGAGCACGTAGTGAGAAAAAAGGGGAGCTTTTCACAGCCAAGGTTGCTCCATTTTTAGGGGGGGGAGGACATATTGCATATCATACCTATTTGTTTATACGTTTTGTAATTTGTATAACAGAACACATAGGCACATCTGCATACACATGTGTGCACAGCCGGTCCAGACTCGACGGCTTCGTCAATCCACTGGAAGACGAGCTGAAAGAACTCGAGTACTCCATGATGAGATCGGAGGTCCAAGGTGGAGAAGAACTTGTAGATATCAAAACGGAAGTATGCAATCGAGGCATCCTTCCCCTGGAAAGTGTTGGCCATGTCACTTGTGCAGTTTACGATGTGCGTAATGCCATTTTGACGTAGGATCTCTCGCTGGCTGCTGGCCGTGGCATTTCCGATGAAGACCTGGGCTCCTGTGGTTGGATGCTTCCAAACCGCATCTAAGTTGTTGTACCCATGCAGCCGCGAAGACTGTGACGACGCAGCGCCAGAGACAGGCAGGTTGAGGGCCGCGAAAAGCTTCCTTGCCTCCTCATCGTAGTCAGGCCGTGCCCTAATCACTGAGTCAGCAGGCATGCCACTGCTTCGGCGGCCAGGCTGGTAGAATGAATTCACTAGCTGCTAACGTTTTGGATACCTCTTCTGCACTTCCTGAGCCGGATCTCAACGCCGAAACGTTCAAGGAACTAGTGCAGCAGAACCCTAAAAATCACAGTGAGCCAATGAACCCTTAGGGTTTAGGGTTTAGGGTTTAGGGTTTAGGGTTTAGGGTTTAGGGTTTAGGGTTTAGGGTTTAGGGTTTAGGGTTTAGGGTTTAGGGTTTAGGGTTTAGGGTTTAGGGTTTAGGGTTCAGGGTTTAGGGTTTAGAGCTTAGGGTTTAGGGTTTAGGGTTTAGGGTAGTTTATAACCGATGAGAACACTAATACCCGGCGTTGCCAACTTGGGGTAGCGTCATCCGTGCGCGCACGTGCGTGCGAGAGCGAGCGCGCGCGAAGCCGCGACACCGTATGGAAACACCGGCAAGCGTGTAGTCACGACACGTCGCGGGAAGTCGTGCCCCAAGCATAGTCTCGAAGCGAGTTCCCGAATCACGCCCTCAGCAGCCGATCTTTCAAACTAGAGATTTCTGTTGTCACGCGCAGTGTTTTAACAAATTCTCGTTCAGGTTAACACGCACGAGATCGTAGCCACCACAACGTCGATGATGTAGCAGTCAGAATGTCGTCATTTTAGGGTATGTTGAAACAAGCCCCGTGCGAGCTCGCTAAAAAAAAACTGACTGCTGGTTGGTCTAGCCGTGCTACACTGCACAGGTTCCCGGATTCCCGCAGTGCCTGCGCGCACAGAAACACAACATGAATGAAGGTAGGTCCATGCTTAGCAGGAATCGATTGCTGACTATGATTCTTAGCAGGGCTCAAACGCAATGCTTTGGCCGCAACTCGACGCACTAGCTTTTGTGATTTAATGTCACCGCAACCCATGTCATCTCGAGTCACGTCCCCAATGAGAGCACATGCGCCTGTGTTGAAGTAACTCAGTATGTTGCAGTCAGGACCGTCCCCATCTGATGCCCTCTGCACTGCTTTGCTCACGACTTCGCGTGACTGAATTGACGGTGTTTTGAAGCAACAGCGCAGCAACACGAGACGCAACGCGAGATGTTTAGCAAGATCACGACAAGGCATGGCGAACCATGGGTACTTCTGGAATTTTCGCGAGTTCAGCACCTGGACAAGCTTCTCGGGGGGAGTTTAGGAAGCTTTGGCGGGGTATGGTGAGGTTCTGGGTGCGAGAGGCTGCGAGAGGTGGCTCTGGATAGCACCATGCGGCAAGTGATCAGCAGGTTTGCGAGTATCATTCAGTACACGGCCTGTAGCATTGACCCTGGAGCTTGGGAGCGAACAAACACGAACAGCCTTTCCTATGCCGCATCCTGCATCCTTGGCGGCAAGCCTCGGACTTCAGACACTCCTTGACGTCAAGCATCGACAAACAGCAGCGTAACTGAAAAGTCGCGGCGGCGAGCATGGGTGACGGGGGGGGGGGAGGGGAATACTAGCAAATGTGATTGCATTTTGGCATATGCCGTTTCCTCAAACGCAGGGGCTCTTGCAGATGTGGCTCCGGGCACCACGTTGGCGCTCCCAACTTGTACCTGACCAAACACACACAACATGTGCGTCTCAATGAAGTGCGGCCGCAACATGACCCTAAACCCTAAACCCACCTGACAGCTGCGAAAACAACGAAGAAACACTCTCATGCTTAGCAACCACGCATTGCGAGTCGGGTTGTACTTGCATCCATGATCACACGGAGTAAAGACCGAAACCACGTAAGCAGCGCAGGCTGCATCACTGAGTCCCCTGGATTTCTGTGGATTTCCTTCGTACCCGTCCTCCTGTCAGCTCTGTTTTTCCACCGCAACAGCATGCTCCCAACAATGCCGCAGCCTCTAGCTCAAGCCAGACTCAGTTGTGAAACGATGGAAAACAAGGCCGATGAGTTGTTCATGGACTCTTTCGGTACAGATATGTACAGCTTCAGTATGCACAGCTCAAGAAGGTGATCTGGGAATGCCCAAGAAATAGCTTCATCCTCCAGGCAGAAACCTCAGCTCCCAAAGACCTCCAGGACATCTGGGAGAGTTTACGTGCCTTGCATTTGCTCTAAGCCTTGTTCTGCTGCTTTGAGCCTTGTCTCCAGGCGCTGCCTCAACGCTTGGACCTCTTGCAGCTTGGAGCTCGAATTTGTGTCTGGTCTATCTCGGCTAGCTCGGCCATCTCGGCTACCCTGACTCTCCTTTGCTTCGATGGGCTTCGCCCAAGCTGGGAGCTGAGGGGCTTCCACAGCTCCCACAGCTTCCGAGGACTTCTCGGACCTTTTTTGCGACACCTCTGCCTTCTTTGTCCGCGTGCCTTGAGATGCCTTAGGCTTTGGCTCCGGCTTCCTCTTGCTTGTCACCGTTTCCTGCTCCTGGCTGGCTGGTGGCTTCTGCCGTGCCCTTGGCGACGTGAAGGCTCCACCGGGTTTGGAGCTTGAAGAAGGGCTTGGTCGATCCCTAGGGTCCCTAGGGTCCCTAGGCATCGCTAGATGGGTTGGGAAGAGCCGTGAGCCCCCGCGCTCGGCGAGACGTGGAGACAGCCCATCAAGCCAGTGACTGTCGCGCACCCTTGGCGAAAGTGGGCGAGTGTGTCCATCGCGGCCGACGCCACCCAGGCGCAGGACATCCACCTCAGCCTCTTCCTCTGCTGCCGCCGCCGCTGTGGCTGCCAGGACAAACAAGCTCTGCCCGTCCCCACGGCTGCCAGAATTCATGCTGAAGCGGCTCCCACGCCTAGATCGTAGGAAAGGGCTTGACGAGCGCGTTGCAAAATGCGACGTCCGATATGGCGCATGCGCCAGAGAGTCGCCTCGCCCGCGTTGGAATGGCCAAGCCATGGCAGCTGTAGCATCTTGCTTCTTATCACTTTCAGCTTCGCTTTGAGGGCTCCACTCCGTCCGCTCTGTCTCCCTGACTGCAGACATGAGTTCACCCGCCCTCAGTCCACGTAGAGGGCTGGACCCGCGCGAGAATCCTGGCACCACGGCAGAGCTTCGAGGCGAGTATGCATTGGTGGGACTGTTCTCTGAGACTGCACAGTCACTGAACTTGAAAGATCTCTCTTTCCCTGGGCTCCCATGTCTCCGAAGCTGGAGCCTGCTCTTGTCTTGATTCAGTGCCATTTCAGCTCTGGTAGGGCTCCCCGAAGACGCGTGCCGCGACGTGACCCCGGCATACCCCGCCCGAGAAGCAGTCAGGACGTCACCCGCACGCCACGTCGCCATGGCGGGCTGGCCTGCGCTACATCTATCGGTCCTTCTCGCACGAAAGCCCTGTGCAGAAGGGAGGAATCACGTTTTGAGGTTTGACACTCGGCCCAGTCAATCAACTTAGATTCAGAGTTTGCCTGCCTAGCTTAGACCGTGTGCTGCGCAGTCTGAGATTCCACTTGGCCCCGCCTCAGCAGTTCAAGCGCAGTACTGTATCTTGAAGTTTTTGCCTGAGCCAGAGCTTAGTGGAGTGCATCTGAAAAGCAAACCCAGCCAGGCCAGGAATAGGAATGTTAGTCTTGGAGTCCACTGAGAGGATGCCCAGGTCTCTTGTCTCGTGAATTTCTCACCAACAATGATAGCGATTGTAGTAGCTTTCAACTTTCAACAAAGTTCATGCAGCCAACACGCCTTTCGGATGAGAGTTTCTCAGCTGCAGTCAACAGCCCCCTCTCGGAGCAGGCTTTGGCCGGTTGATCTTGCTTCCAGTGGAATGTCTCTACGTTTTGGGAGATAGCTGAATACAGGTAAGGACGAGAAAAGGAGCCTCGGCCAGAATGTATTGGGTTCCGGGGAGGGGGTTCTACGCGTTGTTCCCCTGATGCTTTCCGGGTAGACACTCGGGTCATCTGGGGTCCGCAAGGAGCATTTCTCTAGGCTGAGAGAAACTAGCAACTCGGTGCTTCCAGAAAGAAACAGACCGCTGCTACTATGGGCTTCATGGCACAGTTTAAGTGGCTGCACTGCTGTGCGAGCACAGGTGACTCAGCGAACGCGCGGATCAGACAGCTGAAGGCACTCGAGCCTCTGGTTGCAGTACGCTCCACAAAATACGAGTGCAGTACTGCTGCAGAGAACAGCAAAACACAGAGCGAAAAAGGGAGCAGCCCTCTGGTGTCTAGGCGCATGGGCACAAATAGTGCAGGATGCTGTCCGTGCCGAAGCAGTGCTTGGCTCCGAGCTCCGCCCTCTAGCCAACAAACAGCAACCCGCATTTAGGGTTTTTGAACGTTAAAAAACCCATTTAGGGTTTTTTAACTTAAAAAAACACACACGTGTGAAAACACTGCAGCGTTCTGAAAGCTTAACGCAGGAAGTCCCGAGGCCCGAGCTGTGGGGAAGAGGAGTTCAACAACCTTGGGCTGAGCACGACAATGCGCTGAAATATGAAATGCTGCGCGCGATTCACTTGCTCTGCGCTGTGTGGCCCTTTCTGCGGTGACATGCTGTGTCTGACCACATGGGAAGACTACCAGCTGTTCTCGCATCAGCAGTTCACCTCCTTGGAGGGTGCATTGCGAAAACATCGGCATCATTAAGACGAAAGGCCCCATGCGGCGACAGAAGCTCACGCAACGATCCATACCGATACAGCGAGGGGTTGCAGCTCAATGCAAACACGTCAAACATGGCATCTAATCCCACGTGTGACTGGCGGCACCAAACAGTATCGCAACCCCTCCGGGTGAGCACACTTATTGAACAGGTGCACATGCGGTATCGTGAAAGCTTCTTGCTCCTGGTGACTGTAGTTGTGACTTGTGGCACCTCCTCAGAAAACGCAACCGCAGAACCCTTCTGGCTTAGCCAGGCCGGGTCTTGTTTGAAGACTTCGTCCCCATGTCCACAGAACGAGCAGTTGCAGTACCCCTGGCATGTCAGCAGATGCAACAAGCGTCGCAGGCAACGTCGTTCTCGACATTTTGCCTTGGCAAAAACCTGGGGTCATGACTTACAGTCCGAAGCCCACTATGCCTAACAGCTATTCAAAGCCGGAAGCTGCCAAAGAACCAGCAGCATCCGAGGTACGAGCTGCTCACTTTAATCTTCCATGGACCTTCAATGTCGATCCCTGGCAAACCTCACGGAAAGAAGCAAGAACGCTGCGTGCAGCCAGCAAGTTCTTTTGCCAACAGCTGGCAAGAAAACTCAAAGGCAAGTCACGCTAAAGCTGGTGCTCTTGGCTACTGTAACATCATATCTTGTACCGAGTCACGTGGTCTCGGACGTCTTCGGCATTCCTCTCGTAGAGCCAGCCATTACGGGCTTGGCTGGGTCATACCGGACGAAAGCAGGTCCCTGCTGCTCCTGCTGAGGTCGCGAAGCAAGCAGTTCAATCTTCTCATCTACAAATCAAACTTAGTCATCCATTTGGGTCCTATCTGTGTGGGCGTGTCGGGCTGGAAAAAAGCGCGCTCTCCTTTGCCACCTCTTTGTCTCCTGCATCTTTGAACCAGCCATAGAGCCTGTCGAACCTGGCAGCATTGCAGCGCCACCCTATGAAATTCTACCCTTGTCTTGTCCCGTCCTTGGTCGACTGAAGGATCTTCGATGTTCTCAAGACATGCGACGTGCGAGCTTTTGCGCTGCTCAAAATCTCAAACATGGTTGATTTCCGACCGTGTGCTTTCATCTAGTCAGCCCTTTCTGCAGGTGATGGTGCCCACCGATTCCTCTCTGACAGGCCAACTTGCGCCGGAGTTGCTGATCGCACACCATCCTTGGCTCATGAGGGTGCCGAAGCCTATGGTCTCGCGGCCGTAAAACAACCCCTCGGCATGACAGCTGGAGCCGAATAGCCCAGGGAAGAGCTCGAAGAGCGGCCAAAGAAGAAGGATCCGGATCGGAGCAAGGAAAAGCAAGCAGCCAGCAACAAATACCCGTTCGGAGACACTTGTAAACGAAAATCATCCAAGGCGCTTGTGCCCGTGGTGCTTCATGGTCGGGTCCCGACCCAGCTCCACGTCAGTCATCAATCGGCGCAAGTTCCTGCAAAAAACGCTGCAAAGGGAGGGGCGGCCGAGGCAGCGTGACGGAGGAAAGTGGTAAAACCATGAGACAAGCTTTCGTGGCAAAGGCAACCAGTGACGTAGCACAAAGCTGCCGCTCTAAGCTTTAGCATGTTTGTTCCAGCGCACATGCGTCACGCTCCTGTCAAGCTCCTCCCTCCACTGCAGTCGCCGTCGCACTTCCTCAGTCCCGACAGACAGCGAGATCCGCAGCACACAGCAGCGTACAAGGAACAAGTTCATCATCAGCAGGTACCGTGCCCCCGACTATAATCCCTATTAAGGACTGTCAGTATAGTGGGAACATCCCAAGTATCGTGGTCATGTCCCGCGTGGGCTTTCACAGTACCATTGCCTTTCACGGCCCTCGACTCTCCCTCGTTAGTCCTGGCCTGTACTGCACAGCCCCCCCCTCCCCTCATGGACCCCTGCTGGTGTACTGTGCAACGGTGCGACCCTGGGCATTGACAGCCACATCTGCTCCACCCTGTGCGTGCCTTGACAATGTCCCACGCAAAAAAGGCATGCAAAGATGCCTAACATGGTCATCATCACCTGCATATCGCTGCCATGGCTCAGCTTCCTGTCCAAGGATCACCTGCAAAGTGCGGCGGGCGATTCAGAAAAAAGAATCCGTTTCGGACCTTTTGTTTGGTGGACTTGCGTGGCGTTCCCTCATCAAGAAGCTAGCAGCAAGCACTCTTCAAACCGAGTCTGGTGCTTTCTGCGCTATACTATTTTACAAAGCCAGAAGCAACGGAAACATGCCTCGCGCTTCCGAGGTGACTCGATCTTGGGTGGTGATGCATCTCCAGACCTGAAACAATCGAAATGCACGGAATGCACCACCAGAGGATCCCCATGAGCCAACACCAAGAGAGCCCACCAAGACACAAAGTGCCCAAAGAGAGCGCATGATCCACCAAGATCCCAATGAGCCAACAGTTCTCAACAAAAAATGCAAAACGAGCGCGGTTCACGGCATATTCGCGCATGATGTCTCCGAAGTCTGTCGGGCGAGGCTCTGAGAGGCTGCAGCAGGAGGAGGCGCCAGGGATGAGCCCGTGATGGACGTGCCTGTAAGTGCAAACCTGACATCGGTGTGCGAGGACTGGGGTGACATATACTCACCATATCTCGCCGTGGCGTCTTGCGTTTGCTAGTTAGTCTCCAAGGCGCCGGGGGGATGCGATGAAGTTCCTCGGAAGCGGGACTTGTGAAAACTTTAACCGCCTGGCACGCGGCTGGAATCCACCAAGAGTGTGTTGTCATGTTTGCGAACAGGCAGCGAGGAGCCCTTGGACACGGGGCTCTCCATGCCTCGAGCCTGCCAGATGCAGATATGGCCGGTGGCCAGGCAGCTCGGTGCATGGAAGTTATCCACCGTCATGAATTGGGATGCTCCCCCTTACACCAATATTCCTTCATAGGGATTCTGGTATACCCCCCATGGCAATCCCTATTCAGGACTGCTAGTGTAAGGAGGGACATCCCAGGGTCATAAACATGCTCTCTGCCTCCAGGGCGAGCTGCCTGGCCTTGAGGTTCATGATCTCTACACCCTCCTGCGCGGACATGGGCAAGCCAAATCAGCCAATGGCCCCAGACACTTTGGCTCTCGAACCTCGAAACTTGCCGAGGTCCTTCCGAGGAGATTCATCGCCCTCTGAGATGCCCGTTGACCGAGCCACCAGCCGATCCTGCTCACCCCAACGCTGGTCGCAAACACATAGCCGAGCTTTACTGCCATTTTGGGGCTTGGTATGCGACATGCCGATGGCCAGCTCAGACAGCACCGCGGCAACAGCCAGAAACTGCAAGATGTAGCGGCTAAGCACTCGTGAAACTGACACGGCTGTTAAGAGCTGCTCTTGTAAAGCTGTTAATCTTTCATTCAGCTGCGCTTGTGTTGTCCTGGTGCTGGTGGCTGGTGAGGAAGTGCTTCATCTCGTGAAATTTGGGATCCCCCGAGATGCCGACATCTTTCCTAAGGAACATGAGCTCACAGGTTCACGGAAGCACCGGATGGTACTGGCCATGTGCACTGAATGCACGCACACCCATCCGCAGCAACCGTGCCTGAAAGTGGGGATCAAAATGTTCCCGACTTCCACATCACGCGATGAACACATCCCAGAAGAGACATTCAAAATTCTGATCCCTTTTGGGGTACCCTAAATATGAGGTGCTGTATTATAATAGGGATCCAAATTTTGACAGCCACCCATTTGCAACCAAGGAGCTGCCGATAGGCCGAAGTGATTGGCGTAAGTGGCTTGAAGTTGTTTTTGACACCATTCCACTGCTCGATGAGCTGAGCAGCATCGGCCACCTCACCCGTTGAATTGCTGCCCGCTTGATGAGTGAGTAAGGGTGATCTGTGGGATGGCTACCGTCCATACAGTCACACATGCTCGTTCGAAAACACCCGGTGTGCTTCCGAAATGTTCGGAGATGAGGCGAAAAGAGCCATGGAAATGCACACTGTCGCTGCATGTCCTGCAAAGCTTAAGTTGTGTACAAGTAGCTTGTTGGTTGCCTTAAAACTTGATGGTAAACTTGTCCACCCTAGGTGTATCTAATGCAGTTCGCAGGGTTTTCAAGTGAATTAATTAGAAGCGTCACCCTACACGACCTGCCGCACCACTAGCGAGCTAACCGAAGAAGTACTGCACACCTTCAAATCTCTTTCAACCCTCCAATGCTCTCGGGCAAAACATGAGGATTAAGCGAGTACTGCATGTTTATTACAACAATCACGCCCAAATAGAGATTGCGACCGGAAGTTGCGGTAAACAGAATGAACCATCGCCAATTCAAAACAGCGGCACCACCCCAAGAAGAATGATCAAGAAAGAGCATGGGGTTGGGTCCTACACCCTAAACCCTAAACCCTAAACCCTAAACCCTAAACCTTGAATTCCTGATTGTCCCCACTGCTGGCCTCGCTGGAATAGCCCTCTGACATCCGATGCTCGGCCCCGGCGGCGCTTGATGGCGCGCAGAGTTTCTTGCGATGTCTTGTGGTCCTGCTCGCCTCTACAGCTTGTTGCAAGTTCTGTCAGCAGGCGCTCTGGGCCCTAGAAGTTCCACCCTAAACCCTAAACCCTAAACCCTAAACCCTAAACCCTAAACCCTAAACCCTAAACCCTAAACCCTTTCATGTCATATTATGTTTCCAGGTGCTTTGCTTCCCTTGAATCGAAAGCCTGGCCATGGCAGGCGCGGTCTCGGCCACGCTGGACAGACTGAGGCATGGGTTTAGGGTTTAGGGGTTTAGGGGTTTAGGGGTTTAGGGTTTACAGCATGTGACATCATGCAAGGACATTGCAGAAGTACAGCCACTATGAAGCCAGGGGCGCAGCCCCACTCTGTGCCAGTTCCTGACCTGGCACTTCGCACATAAATAGGACACTTGAGATGTTTACCCTTATACCAACAGTCCTTGCTAGACCCCCCCATTGTAATCCCTTTTATAAGGGGCTGTTAGTATAAGGGGGAACATCCCAAGTAGGAACACGCACTGTGCAAGATCCCTGGCTACCTGCGACTCGGCGACCGGATCATCCCGCCAGCCGAAACAGTGAGGTGGCCGCACGTGCCTGCCAGATGGGTATTCCTACCAAAGTAGGGTTTTGTACCCCAAACAGAACAGAAACCCCTTAAAGGGACCCCCAAAAAGGGTACCCCTATTTTCGGCAATGCCCAGATCAGCCAGGGTTTTCCTGCAATTTTAACCCGGGCTGTTGTTTTAAAGGTGATATTCGCCACTGGCCAGATTTGTGTTCAGGAGATTGTTGAGGGGTAGCTACTCGGCAACGGCCGAGGGTTCATGGACATCCATGGCGTGGCTTTCCAAAGGCCAATTCTTACATCGGTCCCACACTGTAGTCTGGAACCATCGGTCCAAGGGTAGCACCCCGCGCCCACACATCATAGCGCAACGGAGGAGGCGTGATTTGGATCATCAGACAAAGAGGCTTTCCAGGATGAAAACTTCACTACGCTTTTCCAACGCCACCTCTCGACCAGTTTCCTTTCCTGAGTCGACTTCCGTTGATACGCTCCTTCACATCGTTTCGTTGTTGTCGTGGTTGTGCCTGTGGTTGTAGTTGTTGTAGTTGTTGTAGTGGTGGTAGAGGTGGTAGAGGTGGTAGAGGTGGTAGAGGTGGTAGAGGTGGTAGAGGTGGTAGAGGTGGTAGAGGTGGTAGAGGTGGTAGAGGTGGTAGAGGTGGTAGAGGTGGTAGAGGTGGTAGAGGTGGTAGAGGTGGTAAAGGTGGTAGAGGTGGTAGAGGTTGTGGAGGTACTAGAGGTGGTGGAGGTGGTGGAGGTGGTGGAGGTGGTAGAGGTGGTAGAGGTGGTAGAGGTGGTAGAGGTGGTAGAGGTGGTAGTGGTGGTGGTGGTGGTGGTGGTCGTGACTGGTAGTGGTGGTAGTAGTGGTAGCGGTGGTGGCGGTGGCGGCGGTGATGATTTTGTGGGCTTCATGCGGGCGACTCGCAAGAACGCCCTCTGCTGCCGCCCCTTGCGCGTGGACGGAGGGCTCAACTTCGGGGGCCGCCCTTCTGGCTTTTACTGGGCTTGCGTGGCTTTTGCAACAGACGGACACTTTTCATAGCGTTTCCATCATCCCCGACTTGACCACTCGCGACACCAGACCGTATGAAATGCCTACATCGGATGCAGTCAGGAAACTGGAGGGCTGTCGATGCTGCCGATGCTGGCAGCACAGACCCGCCTGCACGCAACCCGCAGCCCAAGGCTGCCAAACCATGCGCAGCAACCAGCGTCACAAATGAAATCGACAAGGTACCACATGGCAACATCTTACCTCTTTTTTCACGTGCTTTGCGAACAGCAAGGCACTGCACAGCTCAGAATGCGCCGGCTGCAGACGCTGCAGAGCCGAGTCCCGCGGCAAAGTGCAGAAGGTGCATCTACGTCACCTGCGGCACGACGTCGACTTGGCCCAAGTTGCCCACAGCGAGCCCAGGACTTCCAAGTCCAGCCTTCCTTCAACCTCCTTTCGGCGAGTAAGGCGCGGCATCAGGTTCCAGGGAGGTCTGTTCATGGAAAGTTACGGGTGGCCACCTTGTATGTGTCTCAATGAGTCTCAATGTCGGCTTGCCTGGCGAGCATATCAGTCCCCAGGAACAGTAATCACAATCGAAAGTCGACGTCTGGCTCTTAGTCCAACGGATCTCGAGAAGTGAGCTGGACCTCTGATATGCTGGCAGCTGTTTCATGGAAAGAGAGCATCCCACTTCAGCAAAGACAGTGAAACAAGAAGATATCAAAAAAACCTGCTGCTCGGATGAGCCATGGCGCACAGCCAGCATCCACAACAAGCCACAAGGCAGGACCAGACTGGGCCAGTCCTGTTGCTCATCAGAAGGAAAAGTGTTTTTGTGGCTTCTATGGGCTTTTGTTGCCCTGGCGGTCCTTCCCATGTCCTCTGGCGTGCAATGCGCTGAAGCTCTTGCAGGCGACACCTCAATGTAACGACCTTCACCGGAGGTGTGGAGGAAAAAGGGAGATGTGGCGAGAAATTGCGAAAGTGGCTCCCCAAATGGCTTTCCTAACAACCCAAATTACTCAGCAAACCATGCCTTAGGGTTTAGGGTTTAGGCCGTTTAGGGTCTTCGGGTTTAGGGTTTAAGGGTTAAGGGTTAAGGGTCAAGGGTCAAGGGTCAAGGGTCAAGGGTGAAGGGTTAAGGGTTAAGGGTTAAGGGTTAAGGGTTAAGGGTTAAGGGTTAAGGGTTAAGGGTTAAGGGTTAAGGGTTAAGGGTTAAGGGTTAAGGGTTAAGGGTTTAGGGTTTAGGGTTTAGGGTTTAGGGTTTAGGGTTTAGGGTTTAGGGTTTAGGGTTTAGGGTTTAGGGTTTAGGGTTTAGGGTTTAGGGTTTAGGGTTTGCCTCTCTTTCCGGCAGCTGAGCGCTCTTGCCCAACTCCGGGAGCTCAAGCCAGCCATCCTCCGACAGGTACCCAGGCAGCCCAATACCCCTTAACTAAGTTTTATAGCTTAAATGATAAACTTTTTAATGATTTAAGGAGTATTCCTTAACTAAGGGGCTTAAATTACGAAGGGATCCTTATTATTGATTTAAGGAGTGTTCCTTAATTAAGGGGCTGAAACTATGAAGGGATCCTTATTATTGATTTAAGGAGTATTCCTCAATTAAGGGGCTTAAACTATGAAGGGATCCTTATTTTAGGAGTATTCCTTAAGGGCTATTGGTCTCTTTGGGTAGCACGGCGTCGTGCAAAGCTTCAGGATATGCCAGCGCACCAGCCAGGGAAGCATGAAAGTCACTAAGATGCCTCGCGGAAGCGCATCTCCCGAAAACAAGGTCTCCAGGATCCGTTCATGGAATACCTGCGAAATCCAAACGTCCATGCAGTAGAGCTTGTTTTATGAACTGACAACTTGTTGCTCATAAATGCTTGCGGCGTGTGTTGGGGGGTGGTTTTGCGCAGGTGGTTAGACAGCCATTTGCGCGACACTTCGTCTCTCTTTGGGGGCCGGGCTGTAAGAGGCCGTCCCCTGCAATGGACACCCGGATGGAGCTTCTGGTTCGTGGCTCCTCCTGGGGCTTGGCCGTGCTTCACTGGGACATCGCTTGAAACTGCTTGGAATGGCTGAGATTTCACCTAGCCATGGCGCGAAGCAGGCTCCGAGGCCGGCGAGATTCGCCAGCTCTTGCAGCACGATCCTGTTACTGCATGATTCTGTGCTGTCATTTCGCTGGCGTGTGCCAACTTTGCAACGTCTACCACCATCAGGTCCTCACAGCATCTGCATCTTCCTCAGGCACTCTGACCGTCTTTTCCAGCTGCGGGAAAGCCATCAAGCCTCAAAGAAGCTTCTGCATTAAAAATTCAAAAGCATTGGGGAAACCATCAACACCGGGCATGCAGAGACTGCCCCCCAAGAAACTAACTGAAGCGGCTCGTAATGCCAAGACACCATCTTCGGAAAATCGAATCTGTTGGATAGGAGCACGCCAGGACTCGGCAGCTGCAAAAACACCAAACTTCTGTCAACAGCAACCCACGAACTCCAGTTGCACCAACACCGTTTTGCGGCTTGGAGGCTCCATCGACTGTGTACCTAGTTGAGGGCCGCTGCTAGACACGCTCAGCTCTCTCAGTTGGAGTTCCTCCCTCTTCCGTCTTAAGGCCAGTGAAGCCCACTAGTCCCGTGATCAAGCCCTTGAAAAAAGAAAACACGCACACACACACACACACACACACACACAGAGACACACACACACACACACACACACACACAGACAGTCTCTCTCTCACGCACACAGCAAAGTAAATCCACATGAAAACTGAATCCAGGCATGTCGGCTGCAGGTGCTGGGGGCCCAAGTGGAATCGCACCAGCCGATCGCTTCGACCTGGCAACCTCACCTCGGGGCGATGCACATGGCGACACAGCCCATCTCACAAACATATCGCGCACAGGCAACCCGAATAACTTGGGATGCCCCCCTTATACTAACAGTCCTTAATAGGGATTGCAATAGGGGTTAATATAATCCCTGTTAAGGAGCTGTTAGTATAAAGGGGGAACATCCCAACGAATAACTTTCATCAGAGTGGCTCCCAAGTGGGCCTTGCAAGCCAGCTCTTGCAGCTGCGTCCTTTTCGCTCAGAGATCAACAGTTTTTCCCAAGACGCGTTGCCGGATTTGAGCCAAGGCTCCGCATGACGTGCTCCTGCCCTTGCGGCAACTGAAAAGATTGCCCTGCCAAGGAGGGCAGGATCACTCAGATCAGGTCTTGAGCAAATTTCAACCGGGCCTAGCTCAGGGAAGTCCACGTAGCCATCCGGCATGAAGGTCATCTGCTGAAAAGTTGGCTTGACGTCACCATCCACAGAGCATTGCCTCGGCGTGCAGAATCACTAAGAGTTTTGTTCGGTTCTCGACTGTTCTCGACTGTTCTCGCCCAGCTCGGGATCGGACAGAAGCCGGTCATCTGCACAGATGATCCGGACAACACGCCTTGGGCCCATCCCGAACAAAGTAAGCCACAAAAGTTCTTGTCTTGGTGCACTGAGCGATTGGTAAGGCCATTCTTAAGTAGTCCAGGCACTCGCACTGCACTGCACTGCCCTGCCCTGTACTGTCCCCCGCCCCCCCCGACTGGCGCCTTGCGGGCCTTGCGGCGTCGTCTTTGAACTGCACGCCGGCTGATGCCGCCACGGCCAGACTTGGAGCAAACTGCTCAAGACCCAGACATCGCTACTTGCTGTCAGAAAAGTCATACTCCCCTGCTTGTCAGAAGTTCACTAAGACTCCGAGGCCAGGTGGCTCTTGAAGCTGCGCCCTGGTGGCATGCTTGCAGCGACACGGATGCACATGTCACCCGCACGTGTCAATGCTGCTCCGCGCCTCAGCTCGGCTGACGCTTCGGGCAGCTTGGCCGTCGTCCCCAGCTCCGGAAAGTGCACAAAAGAGTCCTGCTAGCAAAAGGCGTCGCTTGAGCCCTCATAGACGCAGATATGGGGGGTTTCTGCTTTTAGGGGGGTACCTTATTGGGGTCCTTATTCCAAGGGGATCCTACTATTTGGGGGTCTGTTTTAAGTTCTCAAATTCTCAGAAGTGATACCATCTGGTACGTCAGCCGCCCGACTGCTCAAGCCCTTGAATTGGTTCCCAAAGTGCGCTTTCTTGCACCCGCCCAGTAGGCTGGCCCTGCGATGTACCGCACATACGCCAGCATTCAGGTGCATCGGAGTCACCCATTTGTCCAGTTCAAACAACCCACCGTCGGTAGCAAGGACTTCTATGGACGTCTCCGCTCAACTATGCTCCACTACATGCTGTCACTTTCGGAAGCGAGCTCCTCAAAATGCATCTTGAAGAAAGGCGGCCGACAAGCTCCGTCAACTGTGTACTGCAATCGGCCATGGCCTCGAGTATGGAAGCTTCCCGGGCGGGCAAGAAATGAGGAAGGAATGCTCAGATCTTGGCTGGCTAGCGTCATTCGCACGCACCCTTTGCCCCTGGCCTGAACGACCCATGACTCACTAAGCCACATAAGCGAGCATACAGTGAAGCAAAGCCAAGAAGGCATCAGCTCCAGTCCTCCACGAAAGAGACCCCGAAACCAACCTCTGCTGCCAGCACCTATGGCAGTATGCCACGCTGAACTCCATGCTTGCCACATCCACTTGTCCGACCCAGTGCCTGGAGCATGGACCGAATTGATGAGCTTTCAGACTTTGGCAGCTGAGCAGTGTGGTGGATCTCTGGGAACCTCAAGCCAGAACAGAATACAAGGACAAATGATCACTGTCAGCAAATGCTTTGAGCCCTGTCGCATCACCAGGTCGTCATCACGAAACTCTAGCTGCCTTAGGTGACAAGGTCTGCAAGCACTCTCAGTCGGCTGGCTGTGTAGAGGGAGCGTGACGTCTCTGTCTGCACGGCGTACGCTTAATCTGTTGGCCTTCATCTACATCCTGTCACATTTGCGATTGTGAAGTCCTGCATTTCCTCTTCTGGAACTACAGCTTAAGATAAGTTCGAGTCTGCTGGAGCCATTCGTTCATCGAACTCTCAATCATTCATTTAGTTCCAACCTAGAGGCCCGACTCCCATCCTCCAGAAGCTAACTGTTCTTGGATTGAAGCCGCAGAAGCCACGTCTCACGTGCGTGAATGCAGTCATGGCTACATAAACAGGTGTCTTCCTTGCTCACATTACAGGACTGCCGCCCATGCCACAGGTGAGGCCAAGCTACTGAAAGGGTGGCCGCCAAAGTCCATCGACCGTGTACTGAAGGCCATTTCCAGCCAACGACACCCGCACAAGGGCCTGACTCCGTGCCTGACCGGTGCATGTGCTTTGTAACAACTCTAAAGCCCTGAACCTCCGTTGCCCCTGGAATATGCATGTCATCTTCTGTCCGATCACAATCCGGTGAAACTGCAACTTAAGTGACTTTACAGTCTGCGCATGTCCGTGCCGTAGTTTCTTCCCACACAACGTTGTCACATTCGTGCTTGCACATCTTCACAAGGTGCAGAGTCTGAATAAAACCCTAAACCCTAAACCCTACACCCTAAACCGTTGCCAGAAAACTTCCAAAGGCTGCGCAACCGTCCTCCTGGAACTTCATGCCGATGCCCGCGAAGCATGCCAGCTCTTGAAGTTCTGCGCGGAGTCGATTCGCATCGTTTTGAATCAGTCGCACCTGGGATATCCAGGCTGCAGATGCAGCTGGGTTAAGCTGACACGTGGATGCAGGCGGGGGCACGCTTTGATGGTGTGGCTGCGGGGAATTCACCAAATTCACCACAACCCTCATCATCGTCATCATCATCATCATCATCAAGAACAACGAACAAAACAAAGCCCCCAGCAAGAATTTTGATTGAACGCTGAGCGAGTGAGCTCTGCTCATTGCGGGCGCGTTTTGACCTCGTCAGCACCTTTGAAAAAAAAAAAACGGTGCATCACGGAGCAAAGACAATAAACATCGGAGAACGCAAAGCAGCAGGAGAATGGAACCCAAATCCCCGATTGGGGAGAGGACAACCGGACCAGCTTGTGTCAGAGAATCCGAAGCAGCCCTAAACCCTAAACCCTAAACCCTAAACCCCTAAACCCCTTCACGGCTCCGTGAGAGGCCAGGCCATGCTTCATCTGTGCCACCCTAGTTGTGAGCCACTGCGTCCAGCACTCACGGGCCATGGGCCGGTGCTGCTTTGCCCCCCTAAACCCTACACCCTGAACCCTAAACCCTAAACCCCAACTTCGTGGGCTGCAAAACTGATCAAGTCTTTTCGACTTTTAGACAGTGAGTCCAACAGGAGTGCCCAACCTTTTTTTGTGTGTTCAAAGCATCTTCGTTAAATATTATCCAGCAGGACATTCTCGAATGTGTAAGGAATGTGCAATGAGCATATCTGTTAAAAACGAGTTAAGATTTTGTATTTCGTGATGGGATACATGTGAACAATTTTACCATTTTTGTCAGCGCCTGTGGTAGCGCAACACTGCCATCACATACAGTTAGCCACCTCCGCCCCCTTCTCCAGGGCCAGGTCGGTCCAGATTGGGCTTAGGGTTTCGGGTTTCGGGTTTCGGGTTTAGGGTTTTGGGTTTAAGCAAAATTAAACATACACAATCAAACGACGCTGCCCTCACATCTCAGTGTGTGCACTCGATGAGCGAGCGCTGATGCCGGAGTTCGTCTCTTGTTCAGTGTCAGGCTGTCTTGCAGAGGCCAAGTCTACACAAACTGGCGCGCAGCTATCGTCACACGAAACAGACGTGGTGCAAAATTTCACTTCAAATAATCACGCGGGGTCTCGAATTGAGCGCATCAGTCTTTGCAAATTGTAGTCGAAATGCAGTCCTTCGTCTGCTGCTCTGAGCACCCTCCTTGTCTGGAATGACGTTGTTGCGTCTCCCACTCGTAAAAGAAACAAACTGCGGTGCCCCGTACGTTGCTCTTGCCACTCTCGCCCGCCGAGCGTTCCTTAACCCGCCGACCCCGGCTCGCACAAGCCCCGCAGAGGCGCATCCCTCGCCCCCCCCCCCCCCCAACCAAAACGCGCCATAATTCTTTCTTTTCAGGACTTCCACTCTAACCGTGTCACCCCCAACAAGCACAAGCCAGGCTGCATGCTCGCATGCCGTGCGCACGCCCGTCTTAGCCCGCGCTTGCTTAGATTGCATCACTCCTGTTGCACGCGGCATCCGGTGGCATTTGCTGATGAAGTAGACGGGGCTTCAGAACTTCAGTCCGGTTTCTACAAACAACAACCAACATGACACAACATGATGACCTCAGACGCTCCCAAATCTTCTCAAGCTTTCACGAAAGCCTCAAGCTGACTCTTGCAAAGCTTCCACTCTTGCTTCCGGTGGCACCTCTTGCTGAAGTTCTGGGAGTTCCACACTTGAGTCCTGCGGAGCCACAGCGTCAGAGCCTACAGAATATGGGAGTTTACGAAAATGGGGGACCCCAATATAAATCCCCAAATCCTAGGATTCCTTTCTAATAAGGAACCCAATAAGGTACCCCTAATTTCGGATGCCCCCATATGTTCCCATGGCAGCGAGCAGCTGGCATTCCTCGTTGAAGGTCATTTGGCGAAAAGGCCGTCGCCAACAGCCGTCGATTGCCTCAAGCGCCCAACGATGGCAAAAGCCCACCTATTCATAACAGTATAATGCAATAACAATGTAACAAACACAAAACAAAATATGTATGTATATATATATATGTATGTTTATGTATATGTGTGTTTCCACATATATATATATATATGCTTCCCCCAGGAACGCATTGCAGAGAACGAAAATGCACGAAAAACGCTGACAGCTTGCATTGGAAATTGAACAGCGACATAGACTGAGTGGTTGAGGCGGTGGTAATTGATTTGTTGAATAGCACGAAATGGACTCAGAGAAGTATGCATGCAAGATGCTTCGTTTCGATGCTCGTTGAGTTGCGGAGGTGGTGTTCCTTGACCTGCTGATTTCGCATTTCCTGTGTCATGCGCCAAGTTGGCTTGCATGCTTGATGACTTTGCAGAGTCAGGTAAGCCTGACATGTGCAGAGACGGGTGGTTGCTTTTCAATATTGTCTTGAGTGTCTTGAGCATCTTAAAGTTCAAGGTTGGAAACCGAAAATCGAGGGTTTAAAGCGGGAAAAGCCTTGGCTATCTCCGGTTTCCCATTTTGAGCGTCTTGCATTTCAAGATGGGAAACCGAAGATCGAAGATTGAAGGGTCCCGGGAAGATTCTTGGGCTACGCCTGCGATCTCTATCGTCTTGACTGGAGTGTCTGGAGCTTCAAGAGGAGATGGAAGCCCAAAGGTTTCTGGATTCTTCGATCTTCGATCTGCGATGTTGAGCGTCTTGAAACTCCAGACGCTCAAGACGTCCAAGATGCCAGCAAATGGTTCACTCTAGAGAACATGGTCTTGGGCGGGCTGCTGTACATTTACATATGCGTGTGACATGAAGAATATAGTCATTCATATCGTCACATATGTATATATATAAGGATTTACGCATGAACAACCGCGCGTAGCAGTGCAACTTCGTTGATACACTCACGACGTGGATGCAAAAAACTTGTGTGCAGGCATGCGGCACATTGCAACCGTCCTGCGAAGGTCACATACCGTGTCGCAGCAGATTGAAACAGTAGTTTGTTCTGACTGCGGGGCTCGTGCGGATTTGCTAACTGCTAGAAACACGCACTGCGAATGACAACGCGACCTGATGGCATGTCGTTGTCTGAATCTGATGCAGCTTGGCTTACATGATAGGGCTGGCAGGGCATCTCCATGCTTATCATGGCGTGCCTCCAACAGCTTTGAACTCCAGCTGGCGGCCATCTCTGCAGCGGAAGTGCAAACGATTCCTTTGGCAACTGGACTCGGATGCGCAACACCGGCACTGCAAGTTGCTGTGGGCCCACGGTTGATAAGAAGAAGCTTGGGAACCTTTCAGCAGCATCGAGGGGGGACCCAAAAACCCAGATTTCGGATCATCCCCCACCACAAAGCTAGCCAATGCCTGAGCCATCCTGCCCTTTTCGGCACAAAGTACGTAAGGATGCGCCCGCCGCAGGGGTTTCTAGCAAGGTTAACTCTCTCGAGGAAGCTCCTTCCAGGATTGGACTCTGCAGGGGTTCCCTGACACTCAGAGGTCAACACAACAAAGCATCCTTGCAGTAGGGAGAAAAAATGAACAACGCCGGCACAACCTGAAAAGCTCTTGAGTTTGGTTGGAGGGCTAGGGATGTCATCGCTTAGATTGCTTGAGTTTCATCGAAACCTAAATAGCTGGTTTTTGAAGGCTTAGGGGCAGGACCTGGGGCAGACCTGACCCCGCAAAAATCCTTGTTTTGAAAAGGGGTTCGGAATAGTTCAAATACCCAATGGGCCCAAAGCACTGAAACCTTGAAGTCTTGAAGGCATGAAAAAATAGCCCTTCCCGCTGCAAACTGAGGGGAAGGGGGCCGAAGGGGGCAGGGGGAAGGACCTAAGATCTAAAAAGGCCTGCAAGATTTTTTTGATACAAGGGCTGCTGCACGCCGAAAGCACCGAGTGTTCGTCAGTGGCCTTTGGTTTGTGAACACTGCTCCAAGTGTGGCAAGCAGCATGAGCAGCGCGGGTGCCGGAACAAAGCCGCAGCCAGTGCACACATGCCCGCCGCTGCTCCATGTCGGCAGCTTCGCGCACTTCGAGCTTGCAGGATTACTAATGTGTTCCCATGGAGTGAAAATCCGGGGACGGCGATAGGGCCACGTGCTCCTACAGTGAAGGTGCATGCGCTCGTACCCATGCACCTTCCAAATGCTTCCCATGCTTGCTTCATCACCATTAACTCAACTGATTGGCTTCGAAAGCAAGCATGCGGCGACTTGTACCGACTGAATCAAAGCTTCCTTCCGTTCTCAAGAGTCAAAATGCTGCTCCAGCTATATACAGTAACTCCTTGGGTTTGTCTCGTGCATGTCTTTCTATGTAGCATGCTGCGTGCCAGAAGCCGGTGTTGCAAAGGTCCATGCTCAAATCTGCTCCAACCTCCAAAGCTTGTTACCGGAAAGCACCACCGAGGCTGGCAACTGCATGTGGCTCTGAAAATTGCCAGAACAGCCTGCCAGCTGCATGCCTCAGTATCAGCTCGCCATTGTGGATGCGGGTCATGCGGGTCTACTACGTGCCTAGCTGCAGCGAGAAAGTGCAACTCCCACTCTTGCTGCGTTTTGCAAACAATCATTCCAATTATCTTCCTTGCTATGTGAGAGCCGACACTCGCAGCAAATTTCGGCGAATTTCATGGGTTGCACTGCTGGCTTTGTAGGCGCGCTATGGGGCGCGCAATCGTGTGAGACATGCGCGGCTCCTTTTCTTGCACGGGTGCACACACTGTGCTGCTATGCGACGGCTTTGGTCTTAGTCAGAATACCTGGCAACCGCTGCTCCAACACGGCTCAGTTCTTCTTACCCGCGGCCTTCCGGGCTTCCATTTTCCTCTTCTTATTCTTGAAATCCTGCACAGGCACATACCCCACCACCCCCAACACCGCTAAGGCGCGAGATGCAGAGTGGAAATAGTGACTGCACATGGCCTGCTCGTCCAGGATGGGCTTTGCACAACACTGGTACACGGCACACGCCAGACTTAAACCTGAGAGCAGGGGTCGAAATGGGGGTTTGCGAAATAGTAGGATCCCCTTACAAAAAGAACTCCAAGAAGGTACCCCGAATTTTAAAAACCCCCAAATCACTAGCCTCGAGATCATGGGGAGGACAAGATCGTTTCCGAAGAGCCCTAAACCCTAAACCCTAAACCCTAAACCCTAAACCCTAAACCCTAAACCCTAAACCCTAAACCCTAAACCCTAAACCCTAAACCCTAAGCAAACTCAAGGCCTTATACCATTGAACTACTTGCTCCGTATTGCTCAGAATTGGCGCTAGGACAGGGGAGCCTCTAGTGAGCCGCATGTATCAAGTCTCAACACCCAATTTTGCACAGACGTTCCCCCCAGCGATGTGTCATAAAATCTCTCAAGCCCTTCTAAACCCTAAACCCACTTCTCTTCAAGGGGAGTCGGGGACAAAGGGTGGGGTCGTGCCGCTTTGCTTTCTCCACGACCCGAGGTGCTGAGTTTCGCCAGGAGGGTGTTTTGAGAAGCCACCCCACCCTTCCCCAGAACCCCAAGTACAAGCGCCTAGACTATGAGCCCCGATGGCTCCTCTTCGAACCTGTATGGATTACTTTCAAATTGGACAAGTGAACTACAAGCACTCGTGCGACACAGGCAAGCCGACTGGCCATTTTGCGCATGTATTTTCGGAGAAGCAAGGATTTCTTGGCAGCCGTTTGCATTCATGTGTGTTGTCACGATGTCCTGGGGACTGCAGCATGTCGCAATTACCGGCGACAGCTGATGCAGTGTGCATATGGCAAGACAACCATATACACATCACTTAGGCACGCGCCGATGGCGGCTGCCAGGGCCATGGCCGCTGGGTGCAGCTCAGAAACGGGGATCCTCAGCGAGATGGCAGCATGACTGTAAACAGTGGCAAATAGGGTTTAGGATTTAGGGTTTAGGGTTTAGGGTTTGGGGTTTAGGTTCAGGGTTTAGGGTTTAGGGTTTAGGGTTTTAGGGTTTAGGGTTTAGGGTTTAGGGTTTAGGGTTTAGGGTTTAGGGTTTAGGGTTTAGGGTTTAGGGTTTAGGGTTTAGGGTTTAGGGTTTAGGGCTTAGGGTTTAGGGTTTAGGGTTTAGGGTTTAGGGTTTAGGGTTTTTTCAGCATGACGGCAAACCGTGGCAAAGCGGCAGCTCGACACCGCCGGGTAGAAGACTGCATGGTCTTTTTGACTGAACCCTGACGAGCGGTAAAGCTTTACATGAAACCCTGAACCCTAAATCCCAAACACTAAAGAACACTCTAAGCCCTAAAAACCCTAAAGCCCTGAGATGACTGAAGCCGAGGAGCATTCTAGTTGTTACATGAACTTCGCCTACGACGTCTACACCGGCTCGCCCCGGCTGCACCGCTTCTCACCCTCCCTCCCCATCCCTCCCCAGGCGGTGGGTGGTTGGCTGAACTTTGGATTTCATCCTGTGTGCCACGTTGTGAATCAAGCATAATCATGCCATCAGGTTCACCACACAATGTAGTGCCCCGCATCTGCAAGTGCACCGGGCCCCCTTGAACCGAGGCCCCTGAATCAGGGACCTCAGGCTCACAGGTCCGATCTTGTTCATTCTGAATGGTCCACGGTGTGCTGAGTGCCCCTAAACCCTAAACCCTAAACCCTAAACCCTAAACCCCAAACCCGAAACCCTAAACCAGCCCTAGGGACCGGTGTAGACGAAGACGATCAGGATGCGCAAAGCTGGGGCCCACCCACTTCCCTCACCCACCCAGGCACCCACTTTGCTCACTACTTCTGACTACAGTGCCTCGCAACTAGCAATTTGCACGGGGACCAGTTGGACGGAGACCTTTTGGGATTGCTAGACTACGGGCATACGGCACGCAGGGTTTCTCGAATGCAGGCCGCTGTTATCCTTTTGCAGCTGGATTAGGCATTTGTATGGGGTCACAATGAGAACCCACAGGTTCCGTTCCACAGGGTCTGGGGTCTCCGCGGATTGTCTGAGAATAGTGCAGGCGCCATGCCTTTGTTGTCGAAACTATCTTCTACCGGCTGGTCATGTTTCTTGCTCGGTCAGCTCTTTTCAGAGTGTTGCAGCTACATTCCGCATTCTGTGACAATGGGTATTGGCATGAGAACGTGCTGAAATGTAAAATCTGATCATCGGGTTCAAAAGAATCTTGAGCCGCTAGCCATCTTGTGCCAGTGCAACATGATTATGAGCACTATGCAGCAGTCCATCTGCAGACATGAATATGAGCATGCGCCAGTGCCCGACAAGAGGTTGCAATGCTTGCTTCGAGGGGTTTTCCACCGCTGGCTGAACCGGGCGAATCTCTGCCCGCCATGTCTGCCTGCATACACGTAGAACATCTTTGGCATCACTTGCACAGCAGTTGAGGGCAGCACTCCATGCAGATTTCAATGTGCCCTCACAAAGCAATCAATCGGACTGCAGCTGTCTGCCTTGCCTCAACTTCAGTCCAGGCTACCTGTCCCCTCCCATCCCCTCCTCCCCCCAGCTTCATCTTCAATCAACTTTGTCCTACGGACAACGGGTAAAGAGGCGGGGTATACCTTCTTTACCCCGGGGGGGGTGGTGGCACCAGTGAAACCTGGCTTTTCAATTCTATCACCGCAAAGCACGATCACCCCCTCACTGCAAAGGCTCCAATGTGTGCTTCTGCCCTTCTGCCCTTTCTGCCCTTTCTGCCCTTTCTGCCCCTCCTCCCCACCCAACAAAACCCCCGATGCTTTCCCCCTTCGCCCCCACGACCTCTTTCACAACCTCTGTCCCCCCCGCATCTACCCCCACTTTACAACCCCCACTCTGAAGGCCACGTCACAGCCACTGCCTCGCTCTTCTCGTACGCATAGTTCAGCTTCTTGCCACTAAGATGTGTCCAGTGAGTTTTGTCGCATCAAATTTTGAAACTTTGCTTTAAAGTTGAAAGGATCCGACAGATTTTCTCAGCCACCGGGATTGCCCCGTGACTTGTTCTTGAACTTGTTCGCTTCGCCGGTCTTGGCGCACGATGTTTTCTATGTTACGGGGGGGGACACCATGGGCATCTGTCCGAAGCAGCGATGCTGTCACCCTGGGACAAATGGGGGGGACACCTCCCGGAGTGCTCTACGTTTAGGGCGCTGCTGCGGGGATCCCTTGGCACCGCGAAGCCAGGAGCCAAAGCGCCAAACACCGGACCCACAGAAACTTCAGGGGGAGCATCCCCAGGTGGTAAAAACAAGTGAGGAACCAACCCTGCTTAAAGGGAGCTGGGGGAAGCGGCCTCACCGAGCTTTGTCAAGTCTACCGACTTCATGGAATCATACCATGTCCATGAGGACCAAAAGACTGCGCAAGGATCTAAGGTAAAACGCTCAGGTGTATGTGGACACACACAGACATGGCTAATGTTAAATGCTGATTAACGCCATTCCCCGGAGTTGAAACTTCACCGTTCCGACCCACCCATCCACCCACCCACCCCCTCCCTCAACAATCTCCCCAACCCCCCCCCCTGCCTCCCCCCAATTAATGAAAAGCCGCTCGCTCTTCGTGGAGAACTATCTCAGAGTTGTGGGAAATTCTTCCGAGATCATTGAGAAGGATCATTGTCATGACCGCCGGAATTCTGTTACGGTGTTCAGGTCGTCTCAAGATTTCATTGTATCAGAGTTGAGCCTGAAGAAAGCCGAAATACTGAAACTTGAAAAAACCCTAAACCCTAAACCCTAAACCCTAAACCCTAAACCCTAAACCATCACCCAAAACCCGACATCCCTAGTGCGTCTCTCCAGGATGGTGCCTTTTCTTACCTTCGTTTCGGGGCCCTTGTGGAAGCAGCTCTTCGGCCACCCAGCGGATCTTCTGAAAGGCTGGGCTCCGGGTGTAGGGTCTAGGGTTTAGGGTTTAGAACCTTATTAATGCGCCATCACGATGAATGCGCCATCACGCTTAACACGAATCATTCCCAAGAACGACGTCCTGTTTTTCGGAGGGGGGGGGGTGGGGATTTTGGGTTTTAGGGTCATGTTGTCTGAGCATGAAGCTAGGCACCAAGCAAAAACAAGCTGGAATTTTGGGTCCGGGCAGGGTTTAGGTCCAGATGTATCGCTTCTATTACAGGACCCAGGTGTAAGGCTTAGTGTTCAGGATTTAACGTTTCAGCAAAGCCTAAGCTGGAACCCCACCCCCCCCCCCCCCACACTACAGTATGCCAGGATTCTGTTGAGGACATGACTCTTCTGCATCTAGTACTGCGCTCAATAGGTTCTGTCTTTTTACTGGGGGTCTACTTGGAGGTTCATGGGTACTTATTAACCAATTAAAACTGTACTGATTAAAACCCACTTTTTATCCCCTTAAGTGCCCTAATAGGGTTATAAGTACAGTTATAAGTACAGTTATAATTGGTTAATAAGTACCATGAACCTCCAAGTACACACCTGCAGCACCAGTGCAACAACTCCCGTGGCGTGTGGCCACTTTTCTCGAAAAGCGACTTTTCTCGAAAAGCAACGCTTCGCGAGAGGTGACATTTATCGCAGCATTGAGCGATCGGTGCCTTTTAAAAGCGACTTCTCAACAAGAGCAATGGCACTACTGTTTCCTCAAAAATCTCAAAAGACACTTTTTTGCGAAACGTGACTCTTGTCGAGGCGTTGCACGCGCAGTGTCTTCGAAAAGCCACTTTTTTCAAAAGCACCTATCGAAAACAATCTTTTTGCAAAAAGTGACTACTTTCTGCGCACTCAGTCAATCCGAAAAGCTGCTTTCCTTAAAGGCAACTTTTGTCGATAAATGATTTTCTCGCAGCATTGCACGTGGAGTCTGTTCGAAAAGCCACGTTTCTGCAAAAAGGCCACTTTTTGCAAAATGTGACTTGTCTCTGTTCCAAAAAACCACTTTTTGCGAAAAGCCACTTTTCCCTCGAAAAGCCACTTTCCCTCGAAAATGCCACTTTTCTCGAAAAGCAACTGTTTGCGAAAATAAATTTTCCTCGAGGCGTTTCACATGCAGACTGTTGGGAAAGCCTGCTCAAAGTGACTTTTCTTGCCGCGTTCACTGTGCAGTCTGTGTGAAAACCCACTTTTCTCGAAAAGCAACGCTTTGCGAAAAGCAACGCTTTGCGAAAAGTGACTTTTCCGCATGGCGTTGCACGCAGACTTTTGGAAAAGCCACTTCTGTCGAGAAGCCACTTCTCCGAAAAATGACTTTCGCGCGGCGTTACGTTGCGCGCACGCAGTCTGTTCCAAAAGCCACTTGGCTCGAAAGGCCATCGGATCTAGACCTTGGACTGTTCGTTGGTTCTGGGAGCCGCAGATTTCGGGGGCTCCCGCCAAAGCATTCGGAAGCCGATGTTGAGGGATGTGGGGGTTTCCGAATTTAGGGGCACCTTCTTGGGGTCCTTCTTATAAGGGGATCTACTATTTGGGGTCTATTTTAAGGGTCCCCTATTTTCGTAAACCCCATGTGGCAGATAAACAAATACGCACATTTGCATTCAAGCAAGATAATGAAACCTAATGACTTAAGATATGACTTCAAAGCTCGTTTATTGGAGTCCCATTAAGAGGCTTGACGGTACGAAACACCCCTAAGCGCTGAACCCCTGGTTCAGGGCCCTGAGGCTGGATTCGGGTCGCAGGACCATGGGCCACCACACCCTACAAGTACACGTGATGAATAAGAATAATAATAATAATAAGAATAGGAAGAAAAATAGGAAGAAGAAGAATAAGAAAAAGAAAAAGAACAAGAAAAAGAATAAGAATAAGAATAAGAATAGGAATAAGAATAAGAATAAGAATAAGAAGAACAATAGGAAAAATGATTTCTAAGCCCAAAACAT